GAACTTGTCTTAAGAATGCAATGTTTTTTCATGTTTCTTATGGTTGAATTTTGTGAATGAATGCTGAATCTTGTTTGAAGTTATTTGATTGTAGTTTCGCCTAATGTTACAATTCTTTCCATCCTTTTTTCTCTATTTACTCAAAGGACGACTGCCGCAAACAGCAAATATGAAATTCATCTACGTTAAATATATTGCCATTAATAATTAAAAAGTTGCAGCTATTATTTACTGAAATCCACTCTTCAGTCTGATAACGTAATCAATAATTATACGAGTATGTACGTATATTTGTGATTCAGCCACTTTGTTTTTAGCAGCAATAAAATATAAATTCATATTCTCATTACACAATTATCGAGCTTGTATTACATAGAAGCAGAATCAGAAGCAGAAGTTAGGATCAGATAGTCGCGATAAGGCGTCAGATGGCCAGGCAAATATCACCTGATTCGCGACTTTTGAACTAAATGGCAGTAAAACAGCAGTAAAAAACGCCTTTTCGTCGTTGATTAACTCAAAGGGTGAATAAATATAATTAGTACACATTATTCTCATAAATATATAGCAGTTGAGTAAGCCACAAGGCAGGCAAATATGTTGCATCCTGTTGGGATAATGAGGTAGCTGCACTCGTTGCGGTAGTTTCGGTTTTAGTTTTGGATACTCAGTAGACCAGGAGCATGGCCTGCTGGCTATGATAGAGGTCACTGCGTACCAGAACCTCGTAGCTGCTGATGCGGATCTCCTGGCCGCCGAAGGGGATCTGCAGGCAGCGGTTGGACTGCTGCAGCACACCAGGCGTCAGACTGCCACAGTAGTGTGCGCGTCCAACGTAGAGTGGTTCGCCACCGGGTGCCCGTCCCGCCATCACGGCACCGGGGGCAATGCTGCCCCCATAGGCGCTCACCCAGTGGTACTTTCCCTGGCCGAGCAGCACCTGGTATGTGGGCTCCACGATCTCGCGTCCTCCGTGAGCAATGTACGCGCATCCTTGGCTGGGAATCGCCTTGCCAGGCACGTGAACACCCGCATAGTAGGCGCGGCAGACGAGCAACTGCTCCATGTTGCTGTCGTGTCCTCCGATGACTGCGTCTGCAGAGTAGAAGTAGCCCGGTCCAGCGGTCACCCAGACGTCGTAGTTGCTTTCGTAGCCGTAGGACGAGGAGGAGGACAACTCATACGCCGGAGGCGCGTACTCCGCCGGGGTGTAGGATGATCCGGCAGCTTCGTAGGAGCCCATTGGCGGCCTGTATGTCTCCGCCGGTGTGAACGATGGGGCGACGGCAATTGCGGCTGGAGCGACTACAGCGGGGAAAAACGAGGGGGTTGCTGGTGCTGGTGGTGGTGGTGGTGGTGGCTGTGGGCGGACAGGTGGCATCACGAAAACGCCGCCCGGTGGCGGTGCTTGTGTGGGGGGAGGCATCACAAAGATTCCACCCACCGGCGGCGGCGGCAGAGGATCGGGCGTGGGTGTGTAGGCTGGTGGCCTGTCGGACATAGGGAAAGGCATTGCGGCCAGATGCGGATACGAAAACTTCTTCTCGGCCACTGGTGGATCGAGAGCGAGAGCGGGAGCGGGAGCGGGCGGAGACGGTGGCGGCGGCGGTGTTAGTGGACACTTCTCCAGCTCCTCTGGCGGCGGCGGAGGGGGCAACTGCCAGCCGGGCACAACCCTCCTCTCCTCCACAAGGATCTCGTACGAGTCCAGCCGTCGCTCGGCTCCGCGAAAGGCGATAAACAGAGCCCGATGCACGGAGGATATCTTGCCAATGATCAGGTGCCCCTCGTAGTGGCCTCTTCCAATGTAGACGGGCTGGTCCAGCGAGCTGCGTCCGCACAGGACGGCCGTCTCGGGTATGACGTGGTCATAGCACTTGACCCAGACCAGGTTCTGGCCACACAGCAACTCGAAGATGTCCTTGGGCAGCGCTTCACCGCGATTGGAGATGAAGCCGATCTGCTTGGACGGCACCACCTTGCAGACCATCATGTGGCCCTCGTGCTCGGCCCGTCCAACGTAGATCATTGCGCCATCCTCATCGTTGCCGCCCACCACAGCATCCTCAGGAACGGAGGAGTAGGCCGAGGACTGCACCCATTTGTAGGCTGAAACAGAGGAGAGTACGGCGGGGTTAGTGTTTACCAAAGCCAAGTAAAGAAGGAACTATTCAAGGTCGAGTCCAGAGACAAGGTGGTGTTCTTTGGCTTGGTACAAATTGGAATTTATTGGGAAATTTTGTGTTCGATTTTACACGATTTACACGTTGATCTACTGAATACTAAATGCAGAGTGTGGCTCAGGGATCAGGCATTTTGCATTCACTGCCTGCAGAGCACTTCGTACGAGTCGAGGCGGATCTCCCGGCCACCGTAGGGAATGTAGAGGCAGCGCTGGCGCGACGAGATCAGACCCGGTGTCAGACTGCCCTGATGGTGTCCGCGTCCGAAGTAGATGGGATCTCCGTTGCGGGCGCGACCCGTGGAGACAGCATTGGGCGGAATGCCGTGATGGTGGACACGGGCCCAGACGTATCCGTAGCCGGTGAGCACCTCGTACGTGGGCTTCTGGAATTCGTAGCCGCCGTAGCAGACGTAGGCGCAGCCCTTGCTGGGAATCACCTTGGCCGGCAGCATCTCGCCCTCGTGCATGGCCCGTCCGGCGTAAATGGGAGTCCGATCCGAGTCGTGGCCAGCGACAACGGCTCCGGGCGGAGTGTAGGCTGGAGAGGCCGCGACCCAAACGTCCTGCTGCTGATAGATGAGCACTTCGTAGGTGTTGATGCGCACCTCCTGTCCGCCGAAGGGGATGTAGAGGCAGCCGTGTGAGGGATGCACCTTTCCGACGCTCAAGCTGCCGGCATGGTGGCCCCGACCCACGTAGAGCGGCTCACCGGTGCGTGTGGTGCCACTGCGCACGGCATTGGGTGGCACACCACCGCTGCAGCTGGGCACCCAGGCGAATCCCTGTCCCACCAGCACCTCGTAGTGCGTCTTCGAGTGCTCCGCGCCGCCGTAGGCGACGTAGGCACAGCCCTTGCTGGGAATCACCTTGGCGGGCAGGTTCTCGCCCTCGTGGAACGATCGGCCCACATAGATGGGACTGCGGTCCGAGTCGTGGCCACCGATGACAGCATAGGGGGGCAGTGCGGCGTATGGAGTCGAGTGCACCCAGGTGTGTTCTGCAAGGATAGGACCAGAGGAACCGATAAGCATTGACTGCGCGATAAGATAGCACACGGTTCTTTTTTTTTCTTTTCGCTGTCGTTTATTTTGTTCCTATACGGAGGTGCACGTATTTTGGGATTGGGTTGGGGTTGGGATTGGTTTGGTTGGTTGGTTGATGGATTGGTTGCGAACTTTCTAGATATTCTACGAATTAGACTCTCTGGGCTGACGCGCACTCGTCCTACCAATGCTCACAACTGCTCCTGGCTGCACGGCGCCTGGAAGAGTGCAAAGAAAAGCGGAAAAGAAGAACCAAAGAGGAGAGAAATGTACTCAAGTCAGACACAGATCTGCGGGGATTGTGATGTGAGGGGAAATTCTCGACTTGGACATTCAACCGATTTTTTTGTTGCAACTTCCCATGCAGCTTACCCATTTTGATATGCTGTAGAAATGCCTTTATTTCAATTAAATATTCTGCACGATATCGAATATTCTTGTGTACGCTTTGAGCGAAGCGACTTCACGGTTCGAGGTTTGTTTTTCCACTGATAGATTGGTCAGCAGCGGCGTCTCGTTAAAACTGTGCCCCAGACCCAGTTGATTCATCGGGTGTGTTCTTATCAGCGAGCTTTCATGTGCAAATACCCACAGGGGTAGGTATCGTTGGACTGAGAGGGAGATGGACTCATGTGAGTGTGCGCAGAGTGCGGCAATAGCGCTACTAAAATTGACATTGATATTGAGACCTTGATTTCTAGGCCTCGATATCTCTGTCTTTCTGTTCCGGGAACTGGGAACTGGGAACTGTACTGGGAAAAGCTCTTGTATCTGCGAATGAGTCATATGTTACGGCCATAGTGTGTAGGTACAGAAAGCGAAAACGAAAGCGAAAGCGAAAGCAGGTGGTGCTCCATTTAAATGAATCCATAAAACAATATGACGCCTTACAAGTAGCAGATATTGTCAAACAAAACCCCCGAAATAATATTCGAAAAGAGTTGATTAGCCTCCACCACCATCCAGATTCTAGAAGCAAAAGGTGCGAAACAGTTGTGGAATTTCATGAACTTTGTTCATTTGTACTTCACACATTCTGTGACGAAAGATGACGAATTCATATAAGTATATAAAGAATGAGGAAGTACATGGATTATAAATTAACTTTAAATTTGTGCAGCCCTGCACGGGCAGTGGAAATAAGGAAATTGTAGAAGAGTAGGCTTGTAGGAATTGTAGGCTCTAGACCGAATTTTGTTTGGAAATCAGAACAGTTTTGGCTGCTGTTACCCACAATTCAGATGTACAAGAAATAGCCACAAATCGAAACGACTTTCGGGTCGCCCAGTGCCAAAATTAGTTCTCATAATGCATGGCCAGAAATCCTACGGAATGGACAACTGTGAGTATAGATCGAAGCAAAAAAGTACAGGGTTGAGGCATGGACATGTGTATACGTGTTCATATGGAGAGGTACACTTTATGAGCTTATTGATCAAAGTTATTTTCGACTAACTACTGGCGATAAGATTCCCCTGCTTGTGGCCTTTACCGTGGCCAATCGCTCATAGATAAACGCCCAAACATACACATACAAATGTTATACATGTGTTATATATTTAGATGGATTGACTAATGAGACTGCTTTCCGTTCGATTTGTGTTCGTGTGACTCTGACATGACTTGAGGGAGCAACAGGAAGATTCCATTACATGACACTGTTTTTGCCACAAAAAAACACTCGCGCTGTGACACAGCAACCGCGGGGCCCTATGGCTTTGACTAAGATATCTTATCAAAGTCAGTGCCGACCGATAAGGGAGCAAGAGGCAGAACTGACTAGCCCCGACCATTGGCACAACAGCTTTTAAAGCGCAACGCCGGCCCCGACTGCCAGCCAGTCATTAAATTCAACCCGCACTGCACGGTTCTCCCTCGTTTCGAAGAAATAACCCCAAACCCCACACTCCACACACACACACACACAATGGGTAAGGTTTGTCTGGTAGTTTTCCTGCGAAAAGTGCTCAACAATCAACAACAGGCTGAACAAGAGCCGAAAACCATCGACACCGCGTTCAGCTGACATCGAAAATCCCCTGCAGCTACGGGAGCTTTCACATGGATCTTACCCATTTCGATTTCACACCCAGTTAGATAAGAGACCAAGTTCGAGTGATTAATGTGTTGGGTGTGGTGTGGCAGTCTGCAACTGTACACATCAGCAGTCGAAGCACTGGGCACTGGGACTGTAATCAGCGAACTTGACTTATATCTGGATAAACATCCGATCTAACCTTGGAACATGATTTCCCCCTTGCAGATCACACCTGGGTCAGCCAAAATGTCTTCGACCAGCTGCCGCCCGGCGCCATTGTCGCTGGACACGACGCAGACAGTGATCCCATCTATGTGGGCCGCGCCTACCACAATGGAGACATGCTGCCGGCCAAGGTTATTCCAAATAAGAACCAGGCCTATGTCGCCTGGGGCGGCGAGGAGATCAACAAGCACGATGTCGAGATCCTCACTGGTGACCACTACGTCTGGATCCCATCCAGCGGCGGCCACGTTCCTCCCCATGCCATCCGCGTGGGTCAGACCTCGGACGGGGAGCCTCTCTTCATTGGCCGCGGCTACTTCAGCGGCAGCCTGACGCCCGGCAAGGTGCATCCCTCGCACCACTGCCTGTACATTCCTTTCGGCGGAAAAGAGGTAACTATCCCACAGTCGTCTCGAAAGGAGACCGCTACATCAGACTAACATCCATTCGTCTCCCTTCCCCTACAGCACAGCCTGGAGGCGTACGAAGTGCTGGTCCAGCCGGAGACCTGGGTCTCCTCCTCCGGTGGCCACATCGTGCCCGGAACAGTCCAGGGCGGCCACGACTCCGATGGCGATCAAATCTTTGTGGGCCGTGCCTACCACGAAGGTGACTTGCTGCCAGCCAAGGTACGACAGCTTATCGACAAACCAGTTGCAATCCTCATCCCTTATGCCTCTCCTCGTTCTCGTTCCCCTGCAGGTTGTTCCCAGCAAGGGCTGCGCCTATGTGGCATACGGCGGCTCCGAGCACGTCAAGCACGACTTTGAGCTGCTGGCAGGATACGGCTATGGCTGGGTTCCCGACAGCTTTGGCAATGTGCCACCAAATGCCATCGTCTGCGGCCGCACCTCCGAGGGCGAGAGTCTCTTCATTGGCCGTGGCTACCACAGCGGCAGCCTGACTCCCGGCAAGATCCATCCGTCCCACCGCTGCCTCTACATCCCCTTCGGCGGCGATGAGGTGCGCCTAGACGCCTATGAGGTCCTCGTCAGGGCCTAGTTTCTGTATTTCGTCAGCAACATAATTTATATTCTCCATCAGTCACAAATTCAACTTTGATTCATTAAAGACTCAGGCCAACGAATCCATTTTGAGATTTTAATTATCGCTTGGTGCAGACAGAAGACATTGCTTATCCACAAAGAGAAGAAAAGGTGTATCTACAGAGGTCGTTGAACAGACTTTGCCTCTTCTTGATAGCAGAAGAAACAAACAGAGTCCACAGATTACAATAAATGCAGTGCTGGATGTGAATAAGAGAGAGGTAGAGAGTACATGTAGAGAAAAATATCCATCGAGAAAACTGAATTTGAATGCTAAATTAAATACAAATCCCTTGGGTTTAGAATTTTGCTCTAAGTGAGCCACTGAAATCGATCGCTGCTTTCTCGGTGGCTACTCAGCTGTGTGGAGATCAGAACCGATCCCCATCGTATGCTTCACTTTGTGAAGCTTTCGTAAGCTTTCGCCTGGCACTCTACATGGCATGTAGAATGGCACGTAGAGTTACTCGTATCCGTCGGATACTTACGAGCCGATACTTTCCTCTCGCTCACTCTCCAAAAGATTGTTTCCATTCGTTTCCGATTGGCTGGCAGAGTCTCTTCGGCACAGCTGTCTTCCGATTGGTGGTGGCTTAGCCGCACATTGATTTCTATTGGCTGTGGTGGCAATGCTTGCCGCATGTGACAAATAGGAAAAGGCCCGACCTGGAGGCGGGCATCTTTTAGGGTTCACTTCGTGTCTTCATCATATTCTCAACTTGGTCAAGAAGCATCTCTGCGCACGAAACTGGTTTTGGTTGAAACCACATATCGGGCCTGTAAATGCCGTCGCTTCGGTGCTTTTGACAGCAACCATCCAAACCGGCTCAAACGAGATCTGAAAAATTACGGTTTGAATGGACATTACTCAGTTTCAGGACCTGACATTATTCATAGACTGAGTAATTGACGACATTTATATTTGAAGCAAATGTGTGCTTTGTAAATAGAAATAGATTCGAAAAAACTTGTAATACCATACATATATTTGATCTGTCTTCTGTCTCACATAGTTTATGGAAATCCGACGGAAATGTTGCCCTAGTAAGGTAAAAATGTAGCCTACAATCTGTTTCCTTCTTGTTTTTTGCTTACAACAGTATGGATTTCAGTATTTTCAGTTGAATATTTGTATTATGTTATACTTCTAGTGAAACTTTTTGTCGAAGCTCTCTTGAATCGAGACTCAATTCCCGTTTCTGGGAAGAATAGTTTTGTTAGTTCTCCTCTAAATGATATGACCAGTAAATAATACAAGATACCAACTACTTAATCAGAGCTTGAGGTGTCTTTGCAGTATGTTATTGTTGAAAAATTGTAAACAATTCAAGATACTCTATGAGTTCCATCCAAAGACAAGTCCACTATCCAATTGGTTGTATCTTTTTGAATGATCTAATCTCATTTCTGTTAGAAGTACCTTCTTCCTCGACTAACGATAATCTTTGGGATGACCCAAACATTATTGTAGCCCACAAATGTAATGAAAAGATTGTCCATAAGCATTCACATACACAGAGAAGCCATAACGTATGTAAGCAAAAAACCATGTATCACACTCCGTTGGTTGCCCTAAAAGAAGCCCCACAGCCAATATAAATTCTTATAATTTAATTTTGCTATTGAAAAACGCACACACATGAATTTGGACACAGATGGGGCCCCCGCCTCCGAAGTTTTGTATCCATTTAGCTGAAAGATATTAAAAAGCAACTGTGATGCTATCAGAGACCGCATCATCCCAGCGAAGCTTCCTTTGGCCGTGCCGCCGCCAACCCTCGAATAACTGTGAAAATGCTCGGAATTCCTGCCCTGCCCCGAGCAACAAAGCAGCAACGACAACAGCATCGAGGAATATCAGTTTCTACAGAGGAATGACAAAATTTGGCCTCCGGGCTGTCATTGTATCTGTATCTGTGCCGCCTAGCAGCGTATCTGTTGTATCTGGCGAGTGTCGTGTCGGATGGTGTGTGGAGGGAAACGGCAGTGCGTTGAGCGCACACACACAATGCGGATGAGGAAAAAAATTGTGCTCTACCCACTCATACTTATTGTACCCGTAATACATAGAGAAGAAGCCTTATGTACTCCCAGCGAGCCACACAACAAATGCGATACAATTAGTTGCTGCAAAGCCAAAGTACGATTCGATGTTGCCTCTTCTATATACTAAGTGGTGTGGATTGGAGTGGTGTGTGCCTGTCCTGGAAGGGTGGGTTGGTTTCGTTCGTTCTATCCTCTGACGCTGACGCTGGCTGTGGCTCTGGCTCTGGCTGCGTCGCTGCTTGGAGTGAAATTTCTTTCAGCAGAGGATATGCGGAGGTTTCAGCTGGTTCATCGTTTAAGTGTTGTATGAGGGTTGCTGTCGTGGTGGTGGGGGGGACAGGAATAAAATAAACACATACATGTGTATATACGAATCGAGAAGACAAAACGGAATCGAGAAATGTACATGGATAAAAATGGAAATGTGCGACTGACTACGCTTTGTTAAGCCCTCAGCAGCAGCGTGCCGTGGCAGCGGTGGGCGTTTCGGTACATAAAACGACACCGAAACCGAAACCGAAAACCTTTCACGAATTTAATATGTATGAAAAAGGCCTCCTATCCAATGCACTGAACTGAAACGCTGACTGCGACGCCAGCGCCAGTTTCAGCTTTTAGACTAAGCTTGGGCAGAGACCTTTAGCTAGTTGGCAGGGTTGCCAAGGCAAGTTTTTACTGTATCTCTGGCATTCGTCTAATTAGTTTTTGGCATCTAAAAATAGAGCGAGACGATAAATATAGGTTTCGAAGGGGGAGCTCTGGCGCATAACACATTTCATCTGGCGCTTCGTCTCGTCTCCGTTCCCGGCTCCAGTCCGCTTATGCGTGATAATTCAATTAGGAATGTGTGAATCAGCAGCAACAACAATCAGCGGCAACAGCAGTGGCAGCCGCGGCAGCGACAGCAGCACCAAAGTGCAGCGGAAGCAAAGAGAGAAAAAGAAACAGAAACAAGAAACAAGAAACTCGAAAAAAATTGTCCACCAAAACGCAACCTCAATAGAAACACAAGACCAAAGAGGAGCAGAAGCAGAAGCAGGGAGAAGAGAGAACGAGAAAACCATGTCCATGTTGCAACCCTGTTTGTATCGGTCGACGCCAGCAGAAGCAGAGAAACACAACAGACAGAGCAGAGCTGCTGTCGGTCTATGGACTGGAGGGACGTGATGCGGGGCATTATATGCGCAGCTTGTGTGCCTCGAAAATACATACAGCAGCGGGCAGTGAAATATGGACAGTCAAAACAAAGCGAAATTATTTATTTTTCAACTTATTAAAAGTTATTAAACTAATGTCAATGAAAAAAGACGTGTTTTATGTCGTTTGGTTCATCACACCCAAATTAACGAGCTCCTTCTTCCCACTTTAATATTTTATTTGGTGGATAGTCGAGAAATCACGCAAAAGCTTAACATCTATATTCCGCAAAAAACTTCTATGTTGATACAAATTTTAAAAACATCAATGCTTCGATCGCAACGCAAGCGTCCACATTTCACTGTCCGCTACTGTACCTCAGCAGCGTCGTCGAAATGCCCTCTCTCTCTCTCTCTCTCTTTGAGTTTGCTGTGGGCACATACAACTTTATGTACACACGAATGCCATGTACAGCTTTCGCTGCATACTATGTACACATGCATTTATGTAGGTAGTATGTACTCAAGTGCATGCGATAGTGTCGAGGACGTTAACGTCCGACTGTCGACAACAGAAACATCAGCAATTCCTACAGAACGAGCTCCTACAACAGCTATGGTCACATTACCAATTTAAATTCCCATCCAATCTCTGGGCTGGCACGTAACGAATGATGTGGCTGGCGGTGTGGAGAGAGCGCTAGAAGGGGGACCTAGAGCAAGAAGAGTATTTAATGAGCATTTGGCAGTTGAACGAATGCGTACCAGAGAATATACAAACAAGCATATACGCATGCATACACACATAAATGTTTGTGTATATACTCATGTACATGGGTATGGTATGGTATGTGAGTTGTGTGAGCTATCAAATTAGGTTCGTTTGCTGCCTCTGGGCCTTCCTTCCTTGCTTCGTCTACACTCTGTCCAAAAGCACCCTTGTGCCGCCACTGCTTTAGCTTCAGCTTCTGCTTCACCATCCATCCTCCCCACCTCCGCTTCTTTTGGGTCTTTCTTTTCTGTTGTTGAAGTGGGCGTGAGTGTATGCGTGCTTGTGTGTGTGTATGTATGAGTGAGCCTGCTTATCGACTATGTAAACCGCACGGCTGACTGGCTCTGCCTCCGCCTGTGCTCTGTGCTCTGTTGCCGTGGTTCTCGTGGCTGCAGTTGAGTTGGTAGCCCTGGCTTCTGGGGCTGTCGTCGGCATTGTGGTTACCGTTTCATATGTACATATAGCCAGGAATCGCCTGAGTGGTTTAAATAGTAGCACAGTGCTACCCTTACTCCTCCCCTTCCGAGGCACAGCCACCACACCCCTGTCAAAATGCTGTGGCATGCTGATAATTCAATATACAAAAATTGAGGCAAAAGTTGATGAGTTGCTTGCTCTCGCACACAAGTGCATAAACATATGTACATGTGTATGTACGTATTAATGTACGTGCACGAGTGCATGTGTGTGTGTTTGCCTTGTTCGGTACGCTCGTGTGGCTCTTAACCAAAAACACTCGACATCCTCCCGGCCAAAGGGGAGTGGAATGGAGAGGCCCAGTCAAAGGTAGAGGCACAGAACCACTCGCAAATGGCAACGTCATGCAGCTGTCCCGACACAGCACAGAATCCATCGCCACCCCACACCATGGACGCCACTGCCACCCAGTCGCAACTTCATTTGCAATGCAAACAGAAAAGCTCTCACTCAGCCTTGCAAGCGTGACTGAGAGAGGGGGGCGGAGGCATTTGTGGAGAGCTGCCTGTGTAATCAACTAATTACAACAGCCACCAATGTTGGCGCCATTAGGGCAACACCAACTCACGAAGGCCTCACTCATTTATCTGCTGCTGAAGTGACTTTTAAGACCCAACCTAACACAAAACCACATCGCATCTCACCTCAGAGACGAGACAATTGAGTGGCTCTCCGCCAGACCCATCCGCCACTCAAATCAATCAATGTGTGCCCCTCCCCCTCCAAAAAACAGAAAAAAGATACAGACATCCACTCAACACCCCTCCACAACTGAGAAAACTTCGCCGTTCTCATAAGTTATGCTTCCCCTGTCGGTCCGGTCCGCACTCGTTTAGCAATTCGCGCAGTTATAATTCCTATTTCCGGTTCAGGATTTTCGTTGATTTTCGTCTTGTGTTGGGTCCAAGCCCAGAACTCTGGTCGTCTCTCTGACGCACCGCAACCTCCACCGATCCCTCATCTCCTCTCATCATCCATACCGCTGCTCCTTACCGTTCTCGGCATCAGTAAACAGTATTCGAAACCATTCTCCTGCGCTGGTAAATTGATACTTTTTTCACTTTTGGGGTTCGGTTCGCATTTTTTCAGAGCACGCAAAGAAAAATAAGCAACAAGGCAGGGAGACAACTTGAGATTCGGTCGCGACGACCTATCCATCCCATCCATATTCATAATGGCGCACTAATTGGATCTTAATGCTGGCATTTTATTTGATTACACGACTGAATTATGTCTGATAAATCAAATTAGTGAGTGACAGCCAACGAATCGAGGGAAAGTGTGGCCGGACTAACGCTACAGTGACACCCTCTAAGCAAATTTGCGAAATTATTCAATTCAAATGGGGATGGTGGTGTGATGTACACTGACTCTGGCAAATTCGCGAGATGCACTTGTAAATGATATTCAAGTGTATTGGATCATTTTCACTGAAAGACAAACAGAGCAATCGGTATTGATTAATTTCAGTTGAATAAAAACAGAGTATTCAAATAAAAACAATTACTAAGAATGGTTTAATTTGAATAGAATGCGTTCTCGAACAGCCTTGAGTCTCCCACTCTCCTGGTGATTAATCAGTTCTGCTATATTGACATGAGAACAACGTGTACCCCTGCATCAAACCCTCAAGCTTCAATGGCTCACATGGCGACAGACCAGACGGACAAAGTTGCCAGCAGCAGCAGAAAGCGACTTTAATTGATTTGGTAACGAAGTTTGCTCCTGCCAAAAGTTTTGTTTTGCCAGCTCCTTCCAATTGCAATTTGCTCTGTCGCACAGGAGGGCTCTTAAATAACAATTTATGTGCTTAACATTTGTTACACAATGCCGATAAATTAGGCGAACGACTTTTCCGACAGCGACAAGTTGTATCGTCCATCAGATAAAATTTAATTAGCAATCACACGGCTGTCTTTCCATTAAATGCTTCACAAGTTCTCTGATGAATGATCGATGTGTTAGTAAATCTGCGATGGAGTGCAAAGTAATAACTGCATTAACCATAAACACTAAGGAAATTACTCTGCTGCTGTATTCCAATCGATAAATACTAAAGTCTGGCATACATAGCATTATTTTATCTTATGCATATTTGGGAGCAATTCAATGTAAATTCTATGTAATAGCACGATCCCTGTCGTAGCCGATCGTTCCATCACATATGTAAATATAATATCGCTTTCAAACTAGTTTAATCCAATTTGAATGCATTAATGGAAGCATTTATATTGTTAACTTCATTCATTCATCTTGGACACGTTTATCAGACACTTATATTTCCACCACAAACGGAATTTAGTTCAGCATAACTAGCCATGTGTGAAAATAATGATGACTTCAAGACACACAGAGGAAGTAAACATCAATGAGTTGCGATTTTTTGCCGGAAGTTAGTGGCGATTCTAGCTCGACACTTCGAATGTCCGTGACTGACTGATCTGGATTAATTAATTAAAGTACATGTCGTAGGGAGATGCATTTTGGGTCTCACAGCTGGCTGCTGTCTGCTAGATTTATCGACTGTCTCCCGACAACTTGACAACTTTAAGTGCTTGCTAACAGAATGGATTTATTGCAGTTTTTCAATCGAAAGTCTACGATTTGTTGGAAAGCTGCCGTTGTAACAAAGAAGTTTAGTTGCTAACATGGAATGAAATGGGCTTTTCTTTTTCTTTTTGCGAGTGCAATAGTGCAGAAAATGCCTTCGCCTGAATTAACAATAGTCCTAAGAGAAACAAAAAGTTGTAATATGGCAAGTGATGGGTTCGGCAACGTGATTATCTAATCATCACAGCACCTGTTTTGTGTTCTTAAGCTGTGGATTGTTCTACAAGAGCAGCAGTTATGTCCAACTCTCCTAAAGTTTGGAAATGTTTTAGTGCCAGAGCTTGGCGCACATTTTCCTAACCTTGCTGACAACCAGAAAGTTGTACGCTAAGGTGATGCGACGATAATCCCATAAACAAACCTATAAAGTGCGCACAATCTTTGATAACGTCAGGAAAGGCATTTGTGGGAAGCATAAACATAAAAGTAACTGTAGAGACGCCCAACTGGTTTTGCGCCACGTGTTATTTTCTTTACTTGCAGAAAGTAAAGTGAAAAGCTTACGAGGGAGGACATTCTATACATTATTTGTCTGCACTATTCAATATCTTTAACACATATTAATCTGCACGTATTGCCATTATTTCATAGTGAATGATATCTATTTACTTAGGAAATCATAATGATAGTTGGGAATATATGCAGAAAGCAGCCAATAGTAGAGTGTTGCAGCAGTCAGCTTCAGTGGCTTCAGAACAACAAGTTTTATTGGCTTCAACTTGCTTAAACAATTTCATAGCATGCAGCTTTTCGTGGATATATTACTATCGGATTGGTTTGTCAGAAGCAAGCAGGAAAACAAAAACATTTGAAACATATCTACATATCAATCGCATTAAAATGTTCCTTACAGGAATGACTTCAAATCAATATCATCCCAAGGAGTCTCAAACATGAATACATTTCGCCATGGATATACATACATCCATATGAACCACGCATATGGAACGAATCCCACGATACGGCCGCATTTCCTACCTGAGTGTAATTCTGCATTTGTTATTGTGCCTACGAGCTGCATGTTTTTATGTATGTATGCATAAATGTACATTCATACATTCATATATGTATGCACTCGCATCTTGTACTTACCGAAATGATTTATAAATGCCGACTTAATGCGCTAAAAGCCAGGCATATTAAACCGGTTTTCAGATGTGGCCTGCCACATCGTGGCACTGAAACAGAGAGGTACCGTACCACATACATACATACATACATACATACATACATACATACTTATGTATGTGCATTTGTATGTTCAAATATCTGCGTGGTTTTTGGCACTTTTGGGGCAAGGGAAAGGGGAGCTTTGCGAAAAGGGTTTAATTATTGTAATTGGAGTTTTCGGCTTAGGCCGTAAATTCGCATAAATTATTCAAGCCAACCAGACGACGAGAGTGTCGGCCAGAGATGACTTAACTTCCAGATGGAATCAGATGTTAATTGTTTTGTGGAGCCATATGGAGCGTATCCCCCATAAGTAAGTATATGACATAAATCTCTTCGTGGAGGCAATTGTCGCCTAATCCACCCCTGGGAGTGGAGTGGCACTATCTCACCTCTCATCCCATTTCTTGGGCGCCGTGCCCGTGTCTCTTTTATCTGCCAGCATATTCATTATACGAATTAGGTTCAAGGTTCGGATTGGCATTCTTTTGGGACACATTGGTGAAAATTGGCAATTTTTGAAATCGGAAACTCTGCAAAAAGTGGCAGAAAATAGGGGAAAAATCAAGGAAAACGGCAAAGAGACAGGGAACGGGAAAACAACAACAAAGGCCACAGAATTTCCAATCGTTTCAAAGCGAAAAGAAAACCCAACGTTGGCCGAACCAACGGACGGACTAGCGGCCGATGTCTGATGTCCTGATGCTGCAATCCCGTAGTGGCCGTCGTGTCGTGTCCGTCGCGTCGCATCCGTATCAGCGAGAAACCCAATATAATCTTTTATTTCTTTGTCTCCCTGTAAGGGTCGTTGGATGGTCGAAAGAACGGCCTGCGTCTGGGCCTGTGCCCGGGTCTGGTCTGAGCATTTTTCATTTTAAAGACTCTTTGACATTTATTCTCTGGCAGTGAAACGGTGCGACGGAATTGGCAGATTAGAAATGCTTGAAACTCAGCGGTCGGTCATCGGGGAAGGTCGACCTCTGACCTTGAGCAGTTGATTAGCATAGGGATTGGCCGATTCCATTGCCCACAGTGCCACAGTTCCACAGTTTTCAAGGTACAGAGGAACATCAAGAAGGAAGAACGCACATTTACGTGTATTTGTTTTTTTTTTGTTGTTGGTATAATTTCGATTTTTATTTTTGCGCTTAGTTTTTGGGTAAAAAAGATGATATAAAAATCGTATTTAATGGATGGTATTTACACTTAGGATTAGCTCAACTTTGCCGCAGCACTTAAATTTATATTCCTATGATTATCGTATCTGCATAAATCGATTCTGAATCGCTGTCTTTTTTTCTGTATACATCTAATAGATGAACAAATGATCAATATTTACATAGGACTATGGTCTATGGTCTATGGTCTATATTCTAGGGGAAGTTTACACCCATCGTATGGATACGTAACGCTAGACTGGAGGCCGCACGGCATTAGCTACGCTCGCTACCCCCTTCTGGACTGGCGTGGTGGTTGCTTCCAACAATAATTAGGGCGAGGAATTGGTTCTGGTTTTGACTCGCGAACGGGGTGGCGGGTCGTCTACGGGTTCAACTAAAAACAAAGTCTTTAAATATTAATTAGAGCTAGCCAGGAGCCACTGTTGCTGCTGGTGCTGCTGCTGGTGCTTCGGATGTTGCCTCGCCTTTAATCATGGCCCTCTCACACCTCGCTCCGGATGCAGACACGGACTCCCTTCAGCTTCCGCCTCAATGGGAAAGAATATGGACGGGTGGCTGCTGTTCACTTGCTCTTGGTGGCAGCCGCCTGGGGTGCGGCGGTGGTGGCCGCCGTCTGCTGTCTCGGACTAGCCCCACTGCCACTCTTGGCCAGCGACAATGGTGTGTGGCTGGATGGCGCTTTGGATGCTGCCGACACTTTTCCATTGGACAGGGTCGAGGTCTTTGGGCTGGCTGCCGACGTAGCAGAGGATGGGCTGGGCAGCGTGACGGTAGGCAGCATGGGCATGATTGTCTTGTGATCGCCATCGCCTTGCTGGCCATTGGTCGCACTCTTCAGCTTCTGGAGGTAGTCGTTGAACACCTCGTTGCCAGCCCGCTGCATCCGCGTGAGCTGCTCCATGAGGTACGCCTGCTGGTAGTTGTACATCGCCGGGGACATATGCCCGATCTGGGCAAAATTGTACAGCATACTCGACTGATTGACGGCCGCTTGGGCCTGGGCGGCTTGTGCCGCCTGGGCCACCTGCGCACGGATCAGGTTCTCCTTGATATAGTTGTTCAGATCCATTTGCCCGGCAGCGGCCGCAGCACTAGAGGCGATGCTCAGCGGTGCGTTCAACCCCGGCAGACCGGGATGGGGCATCAGCTTGCCATGATTGCCTTGGGTACCGCCACCCAAACTGGAAGACGATGAAGGTGGAGGTGTGGGATTCTTTGTCGCCTTCTTGGCACCCATCTGTTGGCTCTTCAGCGGAGGACTCGGCTTCTGCGCTGGATGGCCGCCGTTGGGAAGCTTCGGCAAGGGCGGCAGAAAGACTGCTGCTCCTCCGTTGGGGGATTTCTTGCTGGTCGGCACCTTCTTGATGCCGGTCTGAACCTGACTCTGGGGCTGGCTGAAGTTGAAGACGGGCGCCAGGCTGGGCAGCTTGGCGGCCGTATCTGGGATTTGGGCGTTCTGGCGTGGCAGAATGGGACGGAACTTCTTGGCCGCCGGATCTCCGTTGGGAGTGGCAGAGCCTGGAGTCGACTGTCCTGCGGACTTTGGTGACTTGTTCTCGCTGGCGGTGGGTGAGTGGCTGCCCATCTGGGCAGCGTTGCGCTTCTCCGGACTGGGCGTCTTCTTGGCGTCCGCCTGCGAGGGCGTCAGCACTGGCGTGCCCTTGGCGCTTGTGGGTGGCGAAATCTTGGGCGGTGTGATGCCTCTGGGAGCAGCGGGCGAAGCCGAGGTCGGGTTTGTTTGCGGCAATTGTGGCGGCGTCATACGCGACATCAGATGTTGCGGGGAGGGAATAGCCTTGGAGGGCGGTGGCTGGGGCAGTCGCATGGATGCTGCCGCTGCCGCTGGAGCTTGAGCAGGAGCAGGAGCTTGGACTGGGGGTGGAGTGCGTACGGGAGTGGGCGCTGGAGGCGACTGACGTTTTTGGGCATCCGTGGCACCGCCGGCAGCGGACTTCTGTCCCTGGTCCTGCGGCTGGTCGGGCAGCTTTACGATCTCGATGTAATTGTTGACGGGACTCTTGTGCTTCGGATGTGACCCGTTGCTGGCCGACGAGGAGTCGCCGTTGTCCCTGGAGATGGTGATCGACAGCGAGGACGGGATGTTGATGTTGCACGAGTTGAGCAGGGACTTGACCTTCACCTGTTGCTTCTCGGGCGCATCCTCGTTGTTGTTGTTGGGACTGGTGCCACGCTGGAAGGCATGGCCGGACGACGTAGCTGCACCGGCCGGGGCCGGATTGGTGTTCTGGTCGGATTTCGTGGGCGGTGAGGGGAACAGCGACCCCGACATCGATCCCCCACTGCCGCTGCCGCTGCCGCTGCCTCCGAGCATACTCTGCAGGTAGCCACTCGCGGTGGCCTGGCTCGGCTTGGGCGTGTACTTGTATGTGGGCATCGTGGGGATGTTGTAGTTGGGCACGTACTGCGGCGAGCTGGGCGAGTAGATGGGCGAGTTGGGCGTGTACATGGGCGTGCGGCAGCCGGGTGGCGCCTCCCGTCCCTTTGACTTGCTGGCATTGAACAGGGCCAAATTGAGGTAGTTGTTGGCCGCCTTGTTCTGGCCACCGTTGGAGCTGGGGGACGAATGGGGCTGCGGTTGATTGTTGCCTCCGGTTTTTGCGTGGCCTCCGCTCGTTTGGCGTCCAGCGTTGGCAGCTGCAGCGCCTGCCGGTGGCGGCGGTGGTCCCATCTTGGTGTCAGTCTTGGGTCCGTACACATGCGACTTGGCGGAGGAGGAGGCGCTTGTGTTGCCTCCAATCGACTTGATCTCGGTGCCAGCGTCCTTCAGCAGACGGTTCACCTCGTTGGGAATGTTGGCGAACGGATTGGGTCGCGCTGCCTTCGGCAGGATGGGGTGGTAGCGCTTGGCGATGGGCGTGCGGTTGCCTGGGGCCGCCATCTGCATGCCCGGGTGGAGAGGCGAGGACAGAGAAAACTGTGGCGCGAGCTGAGGCTTGCGGGACGGCAGCAGCGGTGGCTTTGGCGGTGGCGGCATAAGCTTCTCCAAGCTGCCGACAAATGGTGGTGGCGTGGACGGAGATTTCGGCGGTTGAGAATGCGTGTTGGTGGCCGGCAGACGAATTTTAAAATCCTCGCGGGGAAGGGGCGGTGAGAGCTTTGGCTTCTTGGAGATGGCCTTGATGGGCTCCTTGCTCTTGCGTTTTGAGGCGATCGACTTGGGTGCCATTCCGGCTGGTGGCCTCATCAGCTCCCTGTCCTCCAGGCTGCCCTTGGACCTTCCGCTGTTGTGCGAGTGAGACCCAGACCCAGAAACTGTCGTCTTCGGGGGAGTGGGGGCTCTGTGGCTGCTGCTCGATGGCCTCTCCGGAGATTCGACTTTCACCTTGATGGGCGTCAAGGCAAACGACTTGAGGAACTCAGACTTGGGATCCTCGTAGCTGACGGTGCTGGCCACGCAGCGGGGACTGAGGGTGCTGACACCGCTGGGACTTAAAATGCGCTCTGTGCGAATGGTCAGCGGTGGCACTGTCAGCGGACTGGGACTCTTACGCTTCCGTTCGAAGCTGCTGCTGCTGCTACTGCTGCTGCTGCTCGAGGACTTGGGACTGCCGTCCTTGTCCTTGCTGCGATTCTTTGAGCGCGACTCCTTCTCTGGTTTCAGCGGCTTCACAATCTCCTTGCGCTCCGGATCGGACATGTTTATGATGGTGACGCTGTTGTGCTTGGACAAATCGATCTTCAGCTTGATGTTAAGCTCCCCACTGGGCGATGGACAGGAGGAGGAGGAGGAGGTGGACGGAGTGGGCGTGTGATGATTGTTCTTGGCGCTCGACCTGGAGGACTGCGGCGAGTGGCTCTTCTCGCGCTTTTCCAGCATATTGCGGTTGATGATCAGCTTGAGGGGCTGCTCACTGGGCACTCGGATCTCCTCCTGCTGCTCCTGCTTTATGCTGGCGGGTGGCGATGCAGCGGCTGGAGGCGTTGTTTGCTCCACCTTGGCCTCTTCAGGGGCCGGCTCCTGCTTCACCACCTTTAGGGGCGCTGGGAGCACGCGACGTGGCGTAGGTTTCACCTGCCGCTGCGGCGACTCGTACACCCTGAAGTAGAAGCGCATTGGCGCGTCCCGCTTCCACGTGTATATGTATGCAATGTCCATGAGGGTGTAATAGTCCAGCAGGACGATCGTCTTCACCTTGTACATTATGTCGATGCTGAAGCGCTGCACATCGATGTCGAACTTGTCGTAAACGAACTTCTTCAGGTGACTCACCCGGCACATGGCCGGACACTGGAGGTACCGCGGGCGCAGAAACTCCACCTCGGATTCGGTGCTCAGTTCGCTATAGGGGGAAGAGGGATGGAAAAGAGTGGCAGAAAACATAGATTAGTGGATGAGCATGGATGTGGATCGGGCGCTATAGATAGGATTATATTATTGCTAATGAAACCTACCCCAACTCTGCGTATTCCAGGGACAGCGACATGTTATCCGTGGGGCCGAAAATCAAGTGTTCCGTATCATCGCCTCGCTGCTCGGGCGTGGCCAGAGCTGCCTCTTGCGGCCGATCCTTGTAAAAGGCCCGCTTCCTCATCAGCTCCCGCTCGTACAGGCCCGGAACAAGCTTGTAGACGATCGCCTGGAGTGTGGTGTCCGATCTGCAAGAATAGGGATTAAGAAAAGAACGGTTACAACTCGGTTCGGTGCTGTTCGGTACGGTTCGGTTCATCCTGGTGCGTGCTCATTGGAATGGAAAGGAAGAGGAGTCAGAGCAAGAGTAGGGACAGGAACAGGAACAGGAACAGGGGCAGAAGCCAGAGTCGAAGAAGTCGAAACAGAGGCACTTCCTTGGCACGGAAATGAGAACACACAATGAGAGGGAGAGAGAGAGAGAGAGAGATAAAGACAGGACAAGAAGCGTCCGTACAAATTAGGCGGCAGATGCAATTTTCTATTGCTTCAATGGCACGCAACAAAAACGCTAAACAAGGAGAGTCAGCAGCGCAGCAGATGGGGGGGGATGACGAAGTGGGATAAATAAGGAAACTACAGCTATTACTCCTTGGCATGTGCTGCTTGCTGCTACTGGTGACGATGGTGATAGAAAGATGTGGCGTGGTGGTGGTGCGGCGGTGGCTGAACACAGGAACTCGCATTAAGTCGCCTTTCAGAAATCTTTCCTCTCCTCTACGGCCCAACCATGCAGGCGCTCACTTCAATCATTCCACGCGCATACACACAGACACACACACACACACGCACACGCAAGACAAAAAGAAAAAGATGGAAGGATAGAAGTGAGTGGAGAGACCCAAAAGAGGTCTTGAATGGAATAGAAAGATGAAAAGGGAATGAGAATATGGAACGGGAGGGAGAGTTGAGCTACGGCAGAAAGGTATGGGAGGTGTAGGGGATCGAAGGCAGTGAAGGGCACCGTTCTGCCAGACTACTCTCTCATTATCATATCTGCTTAGTAGGCCGGGTTGTTAATGTCATATCTCTCCGATCAATCTATCAGTATTTATTAACCTCCCGAACTGATTTGGATTTAAGCCAGCGATGTGGACATCATTGAATGATCAAACAAATTAGAGATGCCATAACTTTACCACCCTCCTTCCACCACACAGGGGAAACTTCACTTATTTTCTTTTCTTTCTCTTGTATCACACTCAATCATCCCAATACCACCCACCGACTGTCGGGCAACTTCTTAACTTGAACTAAAGTTTGAGCTCTTTCAACTTTTATTTACTCTCACCCACACTCTCCTACTCTATCTCTCCCACTCATGCTCTCTTTTTTTAGCTTCGTTCGGAAATCGCTCTCACAAAAAGAATACCAATGCACGGCAACAGCAAAAAAAAACAACAAAACAGAAGCCGCGCTTCCTCTCCCTCTCTCTCTCTCTCTCTCTTCCTCTTGCAAACTACGCTGTCAGCAGTTGTTGTTTTTCAGCTGTCTTGTCCCCCTGTCCCTTCGCCGGTGTCAGCCGCAGCCTCACCCTCAGCGTCTGCGTCGACGTCGACGTCATTGTCGTTTGCCGTCGGCGAAAACTGAGCGCAAGACCCGCCCGTTAATTATCTTTGCCGTATTTCGATTTGTTTTCTTGGAAATGCGTGTCGCCTTACGCCGCCAGTTGTAGTAGTGTAGTTTTTGTTGTTGCTCTTTCCGTTTCTTTTTCTCGATGTTCTGCGTTTATTTTCCCTTCTTTCTTTCTCTTATTTCTTATTTTACTTCTTCCCCGTTTTGGCAGTTTATATCAGATGATTCCGTCGGCATTCCGTCTCTCCCCTCCACTGCTTAAAGGTAGACGGCAGCAGAGACAGCTATGAAAACATGGCCGGCATGACAAAAATACGGTAAAACCACAGTAGAGGGGAAAAGTGGTCTTGCTACTTGTATAAAGCAGTAATATTTTCAAGTCAAATGTTATGAAAATATATAGAGAAATATCTAAAAAATAAGCCTGCAAAATTTTGCATAGCTTCCTATAGTTTGTCTAACGAACCCCGAAACGATCCTTGAAAGCTTTCCGAACCATCAGCTGCTATTATTTTGAACCTAGCTTTTGTGCCTTCTTCCCATAGTGCGAGCTTTGTTTGTTTTTTCAGCAAAAGTCGAGCTTTATTTTATTTTTGTTTATCTTTTCAAAGACAAACTGAGTTCGAGTGAAACTGACTTTTCTTTTGTGTTTCACTGCTGCTGCTGTTTCTTTTTCCTTTTTCCTTTTCCCTTTCCGTTTCCCCTTCCTGTGACCCTTTTTGGGTTAAACAATAAACTTTCGCAATAAATTTAATTGGAGACTTGAGACTGGTTGAATGCTACACGACTACTTCTGCCACTATGACTAGGGCCACTAAAAATTCATGGAAAGCAGAGCCAGCCAGCGGCATCCAAGAGGCACAAAAGACACTTGTTTGCAGTCAATCTCCCCTCCTCCTCCGGTACGTACCCGGGAGGCACTTCACACCATTTGGCCAGGGACTCGGAGCCAGACCCAACGAAAAGGTTCATCCATTCACCTGTTCTTCATTTAGTCTGCCCCCACAATATCGCCTCACTTTGAATTTGTATTCATTATCTTTTGTGTTTGTGTGTATGTGCAATGGGAGAGATTACAACGTGCGACGCTGGAGGCAAGCACAGGCACAGGCACAGGCGGCAAAGCATTGGCTAGATTGGGGGAGCGTGAGCGTGCCACCAGCGGGTGGTTTACTGTACATATTCTGTACAGATTCCCATTAAAGTTGGTGCAGCTTAAATATATACTGCCACAGCCTGCCTCTCCACACGAAACGTGTTTTTCATTACGCAGCCACATTCCCGAGCTCCCCCATTCCATGCCATGCCATGCCATTCCATCTATCCACCCAAACCGAAACGAAACGAAACGAAATGGAATGAAATGAATTGAAACGTGCCAGACAAGATGGTTCACGTTCAGTTAGAGACGACAGTGACCCCTCCCCATCCCCCTTACTCAACAAAGCAAATGCTGGCCCGTGGCCCCGTCAAATAAAGTTAACCACAGCCAAAAGTTTTCACGAACAAAGGTGGATCCACCAGCAGCACGTGGTGGGGGATCGGGATCCCGAAAAGTGTCTTGGCTCAGTTTATGCCCCACTTTGAGGCCAAAGGTTTTTGATAAACTTTCTTCCTGGGCTCCGCCTCTTAACCACAATTACCTCCCCCCCCCAAACGATACGGAAAGTTGTGCGGTTCCAAGCAGTTTTATAAAGAAACTACAACTCCAATTCCAGACACTGGTTTTCCCCGGGGAAAATCAATCCCTAAGTGAACTAAAACGGATATGGTACAGGAGAGCGTTCCCTTAGCTCTCAACCGAACCCCCTGAGACACACACTTGTAGGCAGGTCGGTGCCACATGTCAATGCGAGAAAGCACTTTGGCAGGAGTCAAAGCTAATCAATGTAGCTAACTGAACGGAACCAAATGAAAACTGGAAGCAAAGATTTGGACCGACCTTTCGCTACATCTCTGACTTATGTAAATTCAATTCTATTAACTGAATTAAAGAACCCCTAAGAAACATTTCCACATTGCTACTGGTGGATTACCACCAGTCGGCACTAGGTGGTAGACGTACCAACAACTCAAGGCAGATAAGTATCTGTTTTCAAAGAGTTTTTCCATTGCCTGGGCTTCCTTTTACATTCCCATTCCCATTCCCATTCCCATGTCAAGTGGCAGACAACAAATCGCATCTTCAAGTATTTCCCCATCTCTGTGCAACAGCAGAAAGCTCCTTCACCTTTCCATTCCATTATTGTATCTATCATCTAATCGCTGTTGTCAAAGACAGACAACACGACGAACGACTCTATCCAGTCCCGCTGAAGATTCTACTCACTTGATGTTCGGCTTGGCGCTGTTGATGACCATCTCGCACCGTGGACAGAAGCGCTCCTTGCGCAGGTGATTAATGAGGCAACTGTGGCAGACTGCAAAACAGAAAGAGAAAAAGAGAAAAAGAGAGAGAAGAGTACATTAGTAGGGCTTTTCAAATTCCCATTGATATCCGAAAGCTACTCAGTACAATAGTGCAGTACAAAGAGGCAAATTAGGCGGGGAACTGAGAATCGGCATAAATAAATTGTACAGATTTCTGCTTCCCCCGCCAAATTGAAACGATTCAAATTTATGTAAAAACATCTCTTCTGCTCCGCTTGGCATATTCCGAGCAAGCCCCAATGTTCACCCCAAGCACCACCTTCTGGGCAAAGGAAACGCAATCAAGACCCGCACCCGCACCCACCCACACCCGCACCCACGCAGTCAAAAGGAAAAGCAGGAAAATACAGAGAACAGGCTTAAACTGAGGAACACAGAGGCAGAGAAACCTTCAGGGAAACGAAACGAGCCAAGGAAAAAAGTACTGCAAAAAATGTGTTTTGACTTTAATGTCAATGTCAGGGTCCTGCACGCTACAACTGTCACCCAGGAACCAGAGACCAGAGACCAGATAGACTGGGGGGGGTGTCTCGCAGAGTCCAAGTCACTCCAAGCTGACTCTCTCTCAGTCTGCTTTTGTTTGGCCTGTTACGCTTGTCCGTCAGTTTTGGTCCAATGCCGAAAATGTTATACAGGAGGGACAAAAAAAGGAAGGAAAAATTCGCAACAGTCTGTCTTTAGTAGGGTGGCAGGCAAAAAAAAAATGTTGCTGCCCACCAAATGGCCTCGAGTGAGAGATGCTGATGCTGCTGTTGCCACAGCGACTGTGAGAGTGCAGCAAACAGAATGTTCCAGCTGTTGCTGCCGCCACCAAACACGGTCCACAGTACACAGTACACAGTCCAGAGAGTCCAGGTTTGCCTCTGGGCAGGGAGCCCAGTCCAGTCTGGCGCGTTTGACAGTTAGATGGGACTCCCGGGTGCTCTATATATCCGACCGTCTGTCTCTCTGGTTGGATGCTCCATTTCGATTCAGTCTGCCATCCCATCCTCCCATCTCGGGCTGTCTGACCAACAGATTTAAATGAGCCTGACCAAATGTATCCACGGCCACTGTGTCTGTCCATTATCAACACATTGGTTTGCTAGATTTACGAACATCAAAAGGGGGGAAGAGGCGGAGGCCAAATAAAATGGGGAGGAGTTGCAAAATTAACCTTACGCCGCAAAAGGGGGAGACATTTAATGTCAGAGAGCGTGTGTGATTTATGGTTATATTCTTTAGTTTTATTGGGTTTATTTCTTCCTGGGAATGCTAATGTCCTGTATTGTTAGGCGGTTTCTTTAATTTATAGTTTCAATTAATGGCAGAAAGCAAAAGATCCACATAATTAAAATAAAACGAAGTGTCCGCAGCGCAGCCAAAATAAAACATTGATCTAAAATAAACAATAAACCGTAATGTACCTACCTGTACCGTAACGAGTAAAATGTTTCATTTTATTTTCGATTCGAATGTACTACTCCTCCTTTCTGCCCAGCCAATATCCCACAGTTGCCTGCAAACGGCTTCCCAATCAAGAGTCAAGTACTTAGCCCTACTCCCCGTTTCCCTCCTTGCATGACTCGAACCATTAATGGGCCCACAAACTTATCGCCCGACAACATCTGCGTGTCGTCTGTGGCACGACACCCCGCACCCCACACCAGTCCGCGTTTACCCTGCTTTGGCGAACATAACTCATCGCGCAGAGGCAATTTTGCCGAGTTTCTAGACAGATAGATACAGGAGGCAGTGCTGCCAGTGGGAGTGGCATTGGGACAGTGGGAGATGTGAGAGGTGAATGGGAATAGAGATACTCATTCTAATCAAGGCAGAGGCAGAGGCAGAGCGAGAGGTGAGAGAGATACTTACAGGAGTGCAGACACTCGACAATTGTCGTGGCATTGATCAGGTAGCCCTGGCACAGGTGACAGATGATATGTGGATTAACGGCAGTTAACAGCACTGGCCTTGGCGTTGTTGCTGTTCCCAGTGATGTGCCTGGTGCTGCCAAATCGGAAGTATCTGCTGCCTCCTCATCAGCGGAGACGCCACCATTGCTGCTGGCATCCTCTGATGTGGCTGTTGTAGTCGACCATGCCGACGATGAGCAGCATGAGGCGGAGGAGGAGGCGGGTGCTTCGACTGATTCCACATTAGGAGTGGTTGCCGGTGGCGTTGATTCCTTCTTGATGCTCTTTTCTAACATGGTTTTTGCTGTTGCTGCTGCAACTGTTGTTGCTGTAGTTGTTTTTGTTGTTGTTGCAACTGTTGTTGTTGCTGCTGTTAATGTGTTTTCACTTTTTACTTTAATGTTGCTGGCAGCAAAAAGTTGCTGCTGCTGGCTTTGCTGCATTTGCATTTTATCAGCACTTGTCGACGTCACATTTGTGGCAGTGGCAGTAGTCGCTGTTTTTGTTGCTGCCGTTGTTGTTGTTGTTGTGGTTGGCGCTTTCAAAGACAAAGCCAGCTTTTTGCTGCCGTTGCTGACAGCGCTGCTCTTGGCTTCTGCCACTGCAGACGGCTGCGACGCTGCCGCTGGCTTTTGAGTGTTTGCCATTGTTGTATTTTCAGTTGCAGTCGCAGTTGCAGTTGCAGTTGCAGTTGTTGTTGCCGCTTTCGACTCTGGCGTCATCATAATCATAATACTCGTTGCTCGAATTCGCTTGTGTGTTGCACAAGCGTCAATCTGGAAAATGAACAAAGCAGAAAGTTGAAATTAAATGCGAAATGGAAATTTTTCGAGCGGAGGATTATAAACAAATCCAGAAGCTAGAGCTTAAAGCTTAGAGATAATAAATAGTACTCCAATAACAGATCTTGAGACCCGGCTGAAATCCTATACGATCGGCTTTCAATTTCTGCTTTAATCGTCATTGGAACTCAGAAACGGTTGTTTATTAGAATGGCTGAGTATCGGAGCCAACTGTGATTCCAATTCTGTTCGCAGAAGGAAAAGTGATAGCTATGCATTCTGTTATCTTTTTTAACCCCACAAAACAGATCCAAAAACAGACTTCCACAGAGCTATTTCTGCCACATTTAAACCCAAAATAACGGCCCCAAAGGTCCAAAGAGTCAATAGAGCAAGGCCTTTAAGGCAACAAAGGAGAGGCAGGAGAGAAAATACTTCGAGGTAGGGCACACATGCTGGGGAAGGTGGAAATACTTTGTGGCAGGAGTCAGCAGGGCTGAGCAGAGGTGTTTCCCTATTCCACTGCTGACATTAAACAATATGTGAGGCATTAAATGCAATCAGTCGATGGATGCGGGGCCTCCGATAATGGATGTTTCTGTTGTTGTTTTGGCCATGCCCGGGCATAGCGGTGTTGCCCCGGTTGCCATGGGAATGTTTGCAAATATTGAAATCCACAGCACTCGGGGGAGCATTGAGCGCCCAGACTCCGACTCCCACTTCTACTCCCTAAAAGGGGTGTAGTGAAGAGATGGTCGAGTGGTGGGAGTGAATGACTGCCCAGACACCCGGAGTGCCAGTGCCAGTGCCAGTGCCAGTGGCAGTGGCAAGTACATGGAAAATGTATTCCAAACAATTTCAAGCTGTTTTTGCATCAACGCCCCGTTAAAAAGTCAAGGTACAAACATGAAAACTTTTCCCAAAAACTTTTTCAGTCAACGAACCGAATACGAAAATCATACCAAATGGGAAACATGAATGGGGAATGGGAATAAAAATGGAATATGAATGAGAATAAGGAAGCGCAGGACAGAGATGGCCTTGTGTCCGGGAGAAGGCCCTTTAAATCCTTTTTACAGCAAAATTTAAGAGGCTGCCGACACAAGATTTTAACCCTTCCTCCATTCCCATATTCTGTTCCCATTCCCACAACATATACAGGCGGCTGTTGGAAGGGTGGAGAAGAAACGCGCGCGCAAAAAAAAATGTGAGTACCAACATGAAAAGGATAATAAAAAGCAGCGGAATTTCTCATTTCTGTGTGTGTGTGTGTGTGTGTGTGCAGAAGAGTGTAAAGGTTGGAAGGGAGAAGCAAAGGGATGGAATGGAAAGAACCGACCCTGCAGAGAGCGGGGAGGGAGGTAGAGCTCAGAGTTCAGAGCAGACTGTGACAATGCACGGCGACGCGACGAGACGACAGCGAACGCAATTCGGAGAATGCAGAGGGCTCCGAAAGCCGAGACTGCGGCTTTATCTCTTCTTTCGCACACTCACACACTCGAACACACACACAGTCGCGCACTCTTCCAAGCGCCGACCGACGACCGCTTTCATTCAGTAAAAAGCAGAAGCAGGCAGCAAAACAGAATGAAAGATAATCAGAGGTTGGAACCCGCAAACATACACACACATACACGCACGTCCGAATGCGGCTTGGGGAGACTTTCAATTGTGCCCAATCGAAATTCTCACTTTGGGGCAAGTTGTTTTTGTTGCTTGTGCTGTCAACGTGTGTCGCCAGATAAGGGCCCTCAGCTGTGGGTGGGGAGAGAGCGGTGGAGCAGAGCACGCAACAGCTGTGCCTGAACAGTGTTGAGCAACGGCACTTTTCGTTAGCTATATTCACCTTTTGGTTGGCTGTGTTTGTATGCTGCTAATCCAGCCAGTTAATTGGCATCGTGATGTGGGAGGGGGTACGGGCCACGTACAGTATCCAATTGCAGGGTATGTATAGGTAATGTAATCCACAGTGTATGCTAACGCTCAGCTTTAACACAGCGTTTCATTTCTTTTACTTATTTTCTTGCTTTACTCCACAAACACACACTCACACTTTGCGCTCTTCGGCGCGTTGCTTTCGAGCACCTTTATTGTATTTTCCGCTTTGCTCTATGTTTACCGAGCGCACACACACACGCACACGATGCAGACTGAACCGAACCGTTTACATAGCCGGGCACATAAATAAGGCCGAGTGCTGCTGCTGCCGCCGACGTTGCTGTGGCATTTGTCACACACGAGCGAGACACAAAGGAAATTTCGAGCATGCAACCGATAGTTGCTGTTGCATTTAATAATACATTTATTACTTTTCGTAATTTTTATTTTTTAATTATCTTAGTTTTATAGAACACTTTAACCGTCAACACTTGGGCACTGGCAAATACAGTAAATTATTCGGAACACACTTAGATAGCGCTAGCGAGGTCCACAAATTCGCGTCCAATCGTTTCAACTGTTTCCGTTCGACTGCGGGGTTCGACTGCGGGCCTGATACCACGCTGTTTCCGTCGTTCGCTGCTATGTACATATGCAGCTGTCTCGCTCGCTCTGGCCTCTCACTGGACGGCTGTTTCGTGCTTCTTATTTTTCCTGCTCTCTCTCTACTCACTCCGCGTAGGGTCTCTCTCTCTCTCTCTCTTGGGGCGTTTTATTCATTTATTCTTGTATTCCTTATTTCTTTGTTCCGTCGGCTCGCTCTCTCACTGTCGTCGTCCGCTACGAACCGTGCTCTTTCTCGTTTCGCGTGTATCTGAATCGTTGTTTCGTTCGCTTTGCTGCTGCTGCGCTTGCTGCGACGGCGACTGCGACGCTGGCTTCGCTTTTGCGTGTTTGCTGTTGCCTTTTCTGTTTTGCTTTGCCTGCTGTTTCTTTGGAGTTGTGTGTCTATTTATCTACTGCTTTGCTTTGGACCTTCTTTGAGGTTGCTTTTTGTAAGGCCGTCTGTTATATACTTTTTTCATTTCAATCGCAGACACGGCACTCTTTCCATTTGATGACTCTTCAACTTCTGATCCAAATGCTAACAGTATATACTGACATGTGCATGTATGTGTGTAGGTAATCTTATGTGCAAACACTTTGTAAAATGGCTCTGTACATAAGAGTATTACCTTACCTTCTGGACACATTTGCAGGGCACTCATATTACGTCGATTTCCGTAGATGGAAAATTGCATATTTGCACGTAGGCGTACAGTGGCAGTACAGCCCCTCTCCCGCTCACTCACAGTCTAGGCCCCAGTTTGGTATATTGGCACTCGAGACCGAGTCCCAGCAACAAAAGCTCTCTCCAATCAGTGTGCCCCAACCAGAGCAACATCAACAACTCCTCTCCGCTTACGTTTCTGCGATCGCGAATGTACCGTTGGATTACGTAACAATGTAGATCTAACAGATAACAAAAGAGTCCCAGTCCCAGTCTCAGGCCACGACGAGATGTGAGGCACTTTCTATGATATGCGAAAAACGAAATGTTTTCGCGTGGGTTGCAGATTTCATCAGCCGAGTATTTGGGCTTTACTTTACTGTGAACATGCTTTATAAGGAATGCAAGGCTTTCATTACGAGTTATGTACAATATACATATGTACATACTTTGTTGGTTTTCAGTCGGATTACATATTTTGAAAGATTGAGGAGAGTCAAATAAAGATGTCTCTACATAACTACATAACATACTAAAACAGTATTAGCTTCAAGGATACAAATGTTCAATAAAACGGGTTCGAAAATAAGATAATCGCTCTTTTGCGCTATCCCGAAAAAAATGACAGAAATGAGAGCATTGCAGAAAACACAATATATAAGATTCTTCTGTTCCAGCAGTAATATTTAAGTAATATTTCATTCTGAAATAATTATTACCATTAGAAGTGGATTGGCATTTTCGTAAAAGTCCAATAACAGCAGTTTCAATTTGGTTTAATGATTCAACAACCTCACTACGGTTGCAAACCCGCACTTATTTCACCATGAATCAGAGTTTAATTTAAATAAAGCATATGAGTAATGACTATCCGAGGATACAAGCAGTTTAATTAAGCGAATTTTAAATTAATTTATAAGTTAATAAGGGAAATAATTTAAGTTGCACAAACTTTTGTTCTTTTTTTGTAACTTGTGGTTAAAAAATGTTCAATACACATAGTATGCATGTACATACAGATGTACATATATAACAGATACATATTTTTGTACATGCAAGTATGTATTTAGATAATGCTTATGATTGTTACTGAATTGATGGCCAGGTATAGTTTCTTTGATATAATACATACAACAAATCTCCAAGCAATCCTCAAGTGAAGTTTCATTCAATGGTAAATGATTGTTTCTTCATTTAATTCATTTACTGGCAATTGTACTTATTTTCATCTATAGCTAAAATATCTTAAGACTTGATCGATAAAAGTCTGTTGTGTTGTATGACTAAGTACCCAACAGACTTTTACGTTTTTCCTTCTGTTCTGTTTCACGAGAATGGACTTTAACGAGAATGCAAATAGTTTTAGGTGTAGCTAAAGGTTATCCTTAAAATGTAATCATTATTTGTGGATGGAATGTTACTGAAAATGTTCAGTACATATTATGTACATATGCAGTAGAATATCAGATATTATAACCGCTTTGTTCCTGGGCTGATAGTATTTTCTGCAATTTCTGTACATTTTTTATCTGTATAGCGCAGAAGAGCGGAAATCTTAATTACTAGATGAAGATCTCTGCTAAGTACTCAGCCATATTTATGATAGCAAACTTATTTTATTGAACATTTGTATCCTTAAGTCTATTGCTGCATCAGTTTTAATATGTAATCTTTATTTCACTCTCCAACGAATAATACATTCTTAAAATAAAAACAAAAGCTTAAGCTGTACATTCAAGTAAAAATTCATTGTGATGTTTCGGACATGATTAAAGCTGGCTGAATTATTTGAGTTATTTTTGTTCATTTTATATTGAGTTACTCCCGTTTGATTTTGCTGCACTTTGCAATACGATATTGATGTTGTTTTTAAACGTTTTTTTAGGAACTTTTGGTTGTTTTAGGAAGAAAAGATGTGTGTAAACAGTTGTCTACGTTGCAACCGAAGCTTTCTATGGCGTTTCTTAGGATTTCTGAACTTGGTTAATGTTTCGCTTGTCCTCTTATAATATTATACCCTGCAGCTAAAGCTTTGCTGGCTCTGTCATTTCAACTCCCCATTGTGGGGACCCTGACCAAGATTTAACTGTTTTTAGCCATGGGATTACCCATGTTTGAGGACTATAGAAAATAAATAGGTTGATAAGAACAAGGCCCATAACTATCCCGAAGTTCATTAACAACAATTCCTTTCAACTAAAAGCAGATACAATTTGAGTATTCTCAAAATCGAATACTGAATTAATATTCAATATTCATCCTTCATTACGGATGATTGACACTAAAGACGTTGCCGCATAAGTCTGACTGTGTTTATCGCTTGGGACTATTGCCAATTTTTGTACTTCCAGTTTCATCAGGAATATCACTTACATTCTAGCAGACTCTGAGCGACTAGAGCCATTCTAGCAGACACTAATCCCCGACTCACTTGCTCTCTGTAAGCGGAATCATTAGCTGTGGCTTATTATGTAGTCGCAGGGGCATCCCCATCAGTCCCGTTCCGTTCTGCTACCGTTGGTGGCAATCGGAGGCGGACGCCATCTTAAGTCGGCCGTTCGCGTCGTCATCAACGCCTGATTGAGTTCATCCTGTGCGGCGGGCGTTCGCCTGTTGCCTGGTGCACTCCGACGGGATGGGACTGGACTGGACCGGACCTGGGGGCCCAGAGAGCAGTAAATTATTGATTGGCTTTAATGCCGAGCGATAGATTGCCTCAACTGGTTTTAACAGCTTAATTGAGACCCCATGAAGCAATAAATGCGATAAAGCGACAGACCCAGACCTCGGCGCTTGCTTAGCTTAGAGTCCATGCCATAGTATACTCCAGCGCGGTGGGGCTCAGGCTCCAGCAGCACGAGAAAGAGAAACTAATAATGTGCCGCACAGTGGAAAGACGAAGACGTCGAAGCCAGAGCAGAGTCGTGTCTATAGCTGCCCACTGTCCGTTGTCTGATCTTGCCCCCGCACGTTGCCAGATGCCCAGTAACCAAAAGCAACAACAACAAAGGAACAACTTGATATGGGAGCCGAGGCTTTTGATACCCTTACAGATCCATCGTTACCATTAGGCTCATCCACTGTACTTATGCTAATGCTGTAAAATGAGGAAACAGACAGACATGGATTATTATGGTAATCTCTCTTGGTACAGTTTTTCGCTTTGGCGTCGAAAGTGCTTCGTTGTCTCTTTAAACATCTTGTAAGGCCATAATACTCTCGGTAAGAGTATACCAAGCGGCTACAGCATCTGCAAAGGAGAGGAAAGGCAGAAACAGCAACTCCAGTAGCAGCCCCCCAGTGAATGGGGGGCATTTAAGTTTAATTTGTGTGCCGCCGCTGACGTTGACGCCGCTGCCGCCGTCGCCGTCGCTGCCACTGTCGCGTCAATGCTGCCGTTTTCTCCTCTTCTCTTTCTCAGGGGCTCCGATCCAACCCGACCTGGCTCTCCTACCACTTCCCACCTTAGCAAATCCCCACAAGCAATGACCGAACGGCTCAGAGATTCGTTGTTGTTGCTGCGGCTCTGCTGTTGCTGCTGGCGCTCGCTGGCTGAATTCAGGGCGCATGTTCGAGACGAATAGCACAAATACAGTTGCATTTGTATGTGTGAATGCATGTACATATGTATCTGCCAGTTGAATTTTCCCAATACGCTTTGCTTGTGACGTCACAAGAAGCATCATCAGAGAGCATCGTCATAATCATCATCGCTCGCATCATTATTAGCACAACAGCAGATGTTTATGTGCGCACCGTGTGCGCGTGTGTGCGGTATGTGTGAAAAATTGTGCATCTGTGTGCCTTGGCATACAGTGAATAGTACAGGTCTAGGGTTGTCAGAGCGCTGAGCGCGATTGAAATTTATGGTAATTAAAAATGGGCAAAGTTTAAGGTTTTTTAAATTAAATTAGAGGCTGTTAAAGGATCTGAGTTTTTTAATTGCATTTTGGGTTTATACAATACTTATTCGTAAATGAATATTTTATTTACTTCCTCTGTAAATTTTATACAGTTTTAAATATTTGTTCAACTATTATGTTCTTAGTTTTTATTATAATTTATTTTTTTTGAAAATATTTGCCTTATTTAACAGGTTTGAAAACACGATTGAGCGTTTGCATTTCCTTGCGGTAGTCGGCAACCCTGAAGCAGTTGTTATTGCCTCGCTTTTATCTACGCTCGCACAGGCCAGAGAGTCGGAGTCAGAATTTGTGCTGTACAAAGCATAATAATGAGTTTTCTCACTTCGTCTCTCTCGTTTCCACACAGTTTCCCGATGCACGTTTAACGAGGGTTAGGGCAGAAGGGATAAAATGGAATAATATTGGAATTATAAATAAGGTTGCCAGATACAAGATACGACCAAACGAAACGAGCCACGCTACATGCTACGCAAATACATACAACCCCTCGTACATACATAGCCTATGTAGGTACATGGATATAAAACTGGTTGCTAGCTCTTCGTCGAGTTCGACAAAGCGGACTCAACGAAACGCTGCACAAGGCAGAGAGGCAGTACATAAGCGACTGAGCGTATGTATGCTCATTTACTATGTT